TCAGCATCTTTATATTTGATTTTCTATTCAAATACTTGGGTTGACTTCTCATTTATCCCGCTTTCTTATACACTCCATAACTGTTATACCTTCCCTTCTGACACATCCCTGGAAGTATGACTAAATGTATTGTTCATTTATTGTTCTTTATTAAGTATTTTTTGGTAATTGTTATATTTTGAGTTGAGTTATTTGAGGCAATAGTTTGAAATTGATCACCACATAAAAACCATTTGTTGTTTCTAATAACTGCATAATTAATAATCTAGGGAGTTGAATTAATTTCTTAGACACAAAAATTATTTAGATTACTGCATTTATATCTACAATTGGGGTGGTGTCGTTAATTATATTTTGTGAATAATTTCTTGTTTTATTATATGTATCATTACATGTGGATTCAACAACTTCTACTCTGTGATGCTGGAAAAAAAAGACACATAGCAAATAATAATTATCTGATAAACTGACCTTCTAAATTATAAAATTATAACAATTATTTTTATGTCCTTATTTATTATGAAAAGTACTGATTATGTTCATACAAAAATGAGAGCTGTTGTTCTTGTATTTTCCTTTGAAAGAGTGTGATTTGCTTCTTGGATGCTCTCAAATTCCAGTTGGATGCATATCTTTCTCAGAAGCATTAAACTGAAGTAGTTACTGATTCCAATTTAGTGACCTAAGAGCTAGAGAGGAAAGGAAAGGAAGGTGGGGTTTTGGAGTCCTCTTGGAAGAATTGTAATTCCATTGTTAATKAYCTTAGGATTGCASAAGCTGCCAGCCAGACTTCCAATCTAGCGCTGTCATCTTTGGATGGGAAGAGTCTCTGCTACTTCAGGGAGGGACCTCTACCTCTGAAGCCGATTTGCTGTTTGGTGTTGCCTCCTACAGCTTCCCTGAGGGTCGGCAATGCTGAAGGATTCTGTGATGTCTCAGGCACATCTTTCTGCTTTCCCAACAGCTTCTAACTTCTACTCTCTAACTTAAGGTCTAAGATTATCTCTTTTTTTTTAAGTCCATGAGGCTATGTCTCTTTCTCACGGGAGATAAACTAAAGATAGCACCTGACATCTTTTTACTWATTTGCCCTCACATTGCAATTATTTTTAATTATGTGGTACCTGAACAGTAATTTCCCCAGATTCAAGAGCAAACTTTTTCAACTTTTAAAAAATCTTTTAAATTGACATTTTTTTTTGTATTTTTTTCCTCTTTCAAATAGAACAGAAGGAAGGAGACCTCAGACATCTGAGCTCATATCACCAGTTAACTATTATTTCACAGAATTTTTCTGATTAACATTCTTAAAGGTTGACTTTTAGCCTTCATATCACTGCCTGCCGCTATGTCAATGCAGAAACTTAGAAACACACTGCAATAATTTAAATGCTTTGGTGGAAAGAGACCAAATCACTACATCTTAAAATTTAGGCTATCATAAATGGGATATTAAAGGTTCACTTTTTAATATCTACTAGTCAAGATGAAAATAGAATTATTAGTCACAAATATTTACTAAATTTAAAAACAACAGTTATGATCATTTTTGAAGTAGTTTATTTACATGGTTTAAGTGGATAATTTGGAAACCTTCAGAGAGAAATTCTTTCCCGGAAAGTGTGAGTTGAAGAAAAACTAACTATTTAGAATGATGATGATGATGAAGGTTATAATTTTGCAGGTGGACACATTACAGGGTAGCATTTTGATATTTCTGATGCTTCTGTAATTTTTCTGTGCTCATTTTGTTCCTTGCTTTCTCCCCACCCCCCATGGTTTTACACATCCTCTAGGCCATTTTTTCACTGTTAAGATAATGCTAAAAGGGGCAGAACAAAGCCACAGTATTTCTTTCCTGTAATTGCCTATTATCTATGATAAGGCTTCAGATGTCATTACTGCCCAGCTCACATGAAAAGAAACAAACACAAAAGAATAAGAAGGAAAGTAAAAGAAATCATCTAAGAACTTCAACTTATTTTATATTATGGAAGATATATAAATTTTGTTTATTTGTTCATTTTGTTGTTTAGAGTACCAAATATTTTCTAGTCAACAGTGTCTGTGGAAGAGTTTGAGTCATAAAATGTCAAAGGAAAGTGAAAAACACTAGTATATATAATTATATAACTTTAAAATTTATAAGCATTGAAACAAAAAAAAGTCATTTTATTCTTTTGTACTTACTTATCATTATCAATCCTTATTATCCGTTCTCTTTTCTAGGCTCTCAAATGTCAAAACACAAGTGTCCTCATTGGAATACAATACATCCTGTACATTCTCCATCTTATATGGTTAATAACATTCAATTCACTTCCTCTCCTCTGCTTGTTTTTAAAACAAAACAATACAACCCACTTTAAAACATGCTAAGAATCCTTTACAATTCAATACCCAAAAAAAAAAAAAAATTGTGTCAAGAACTTTTTATCTTAGTTTTAAGAATTAAGAAAGCCATAAAAGCAACATAAAGATATATTCAAATTTATTCCAAGTTTGTAATCACCTTGAAAAATATCCCCCTATGCTTCAATCATTCTTTGTATGGCCTATCAATTATCTTCCCAACAACTCACCATGATTTACATCATCTACCTACACAGTAAACATATTCTTGTGTTACCTCTGACATTGAAACATGGCCCACAAAAACCCAGGATTTACTACAAACTCAAGGTCACAGCTGTTCAAAGATGAGTTTTATGGTCTTATACTATCTTTTCAAAACTTCCAGATCATGTCATTTGAATCCAATCTCCTAATAAATTCCACCACATGGCCTATAGCTTTGCCCCTCTCGCTTCTTATTACACCACCATTCTCTCTCCTGTCCACTCCATTCCCATCACACTGGCTTCCTTTCCAAATCCTTCATTCAGCAACTATGCTCCCAACCCACAGCCTTTGCTCCTGTTGGACTCTGCTTCATGTACTCTTTCTGCAGACTCATCTCTGTGCTTTGTTCAAATCTCTGTTTAAATGCCCTTTAGTAGCAAGGCTATCCCTCAAAATACCACTTCTTCAAACCATCACTCCATCCCCTCATCCTGCTTTTTCTTCTAATGCACATCCCACATACCCAATATTACATGTCTATTTTCCATTGGTTAGGGATATTTCCTTCCTAGAATATAAACAACATGTAGACAGGTTCCAATTAGGTTCACAAGAACAGTGTGTGACGTAAAGCAAACGTCCAACATATACTTACTGATAGAAGAAATCTATTGGAACAAACTCTATATTTCCTCAATTTATTCAAAAGTGGTATTTTGACCTCAACTTATATCACATGATTTTCTTCTTTCATCAAGACCATTTTATCCTGCCTACATGATGACAAAATTGCATTTTACCTTTGTCACATTATTTAGCATTAAATGACCTGCCCAAGCACTATAACTATTCTTGATTTACATATAAAAATATAAAACAATTCCATATGCATTTTAAATTATAACTTAAAATTTTTATTTTATTTATAGCAGTATATAAATTTTATTACCTTCATATGTTAATGTATCTGCTTTTTCCACTACTAAAATACACTCAAAGATTATGTCACAATGCATTGAGAGCTTAAATTAAAAATAATAGAAGAATAAACATATTGAAATAAAATATTCTATATAATACTGAATTAATTTCCAAGAACACTATTCTCATTGCTCCTAACAATTATAATCTTATACYTTATCTACTTGGCTGTATATATAACACATCTTTTATAAAAATTTACCTGTTGATTGCTAGGACAAAGCCAATTAAAATACATTATAAAATAATAAAAAGGAAAATATTTTATGCCATCAACCTAAAACTGCCACGTTCAAGTGAAACAATTCATATTAAACTGAATTAGCTTATTATTAATGTCTATTAGCTTAGACACTACAAAAACATCATTATTTGCAGGTAATTTTTGAGCCTACAGATCTATTGTTAACATAATCACAGTTTTTATTCTAATAGAAAAATAATTAATTCAGTACCATACAAATGTAAGAAATGGTTTTTATATACTATCTCAGCCCTTACTTCATTTTGACCTAAGGGTCTAGTCAGAGATATAAACAAAATACACTCATTTAGATCTTATGACTTCACAAGATTTCTGGTCTAATTTACATAAACTGTGTTTTAAGCATATAACCATGGCTCTGTCCCTCTCTTCCTGAGCTATCTAACTGAAAATTCAGTTCAGAAAGAAAAGCTTGTCATCACTCACCTTTTCTTTGGCATCAATATTAAGTGTATGAACTATGCAGTGAATACCTGATGGTATTAACCTGAAATGTTCTTATAAAATTTTATTCACATAAAAGAATTTGAGAATATTTATAACTTCCCTTAATCTATTATTTAAGTGTTTACAAGTATATTACATCATTTCCTTGAATATTTATATTTAAAAAGCATTAGTGCTCAACTGTAACAATCTATCCATTCCTTGGGTTTTTGATAGCATTAATCTTTTACATTATTCTGAATATATTACGTTGTCTTTGCTTTGTTTTATTTCTTAGTGTCTTATTTCGCAATGTGTTTTGTATTTCCTGACTCTGGGCTTCTGAAACCAAGAAATTTTGTTCTTTTGAGGACGATGAGCCATAGAACAAAACTGAATTCTTATGCAGTTGGAAACATATTTTAAATAAAATTTGCAGTCATAAAATACTTCTGGAATATAAAATAACAGGTAGGGTTAATAAGAATAAAACAGAGATGTGTGTTAAGGAAAAAAGACATCCAAAATAAAATGTTAAGTGTAAAAAATTAAGTTGCAGAACAAAATGAATTATATGTYCCCATTTGTATATAAAAGCAATATATGCATGTGTGCATTTTGATATATTTATATCATAGATGTGGCATATCATTTTATCACATACATGTACATACTGAAATATATCTATATATACCCCTAACACTCATATATATCAGTTTCTCTAAAATGTCTAGAATCATAAACACAAAAAATAGCTGATATACACTTTTATCTCTGGGAAACAGTAAAAGTTAGGTAAGGAAGACACTTACTTTGACTTTATTCTTGTATGTTCTATAATGTTTACAATTGTCAAAACAATACTTTGTTAGAAAAGTAGTTTTTCATGACTCCTTTTTCTATTTCTGTGAAGAATATCTTTGGAATTTTGATGGGGATGGCATTGAATGTGTATCATGCTTGGGGTAGTATGACCATTTTTTCAATATTAATATTAATTCTGCCTACCCAAGAACATGGGAGTTCTTTCCATCTTCTAAGGTCTTTTTAACTTTCTTTCTTTAATGTTCTATAGTTTTCATGTAGAAGGCCTTTGCCTCTTTTGTTAGATTGATTCCCAAGTATTTTTTTTTAGGCTATTGTGAAAGGGATAGTTTTCCTAATTAATTTTTCACCAGATTTGTTATTGGAGTATAGAAATGCAACTGACTTATGAGTGTTGACTTTTTTTATCCTGTTACTTTGCTAAATTCATTTATGAGCTCTAGGAGTCTTCTGGTGGAGTTTTTTTTTGGGGGGGGGTGAGGGTCTTCTAAATATAGAATCATGTCATTGGCAAATAGAGATAATTTAAGCTCTTCTTTTCTTACTCATATTCCTTTAATATGCTTCTCTATTTGGAAAAAATAAGAGATGCACAATAGCAAAGGTAATACTTGGAAAGAAAAGTGAGGCAGTAGTCATCACAATACTAGACCTCAAATTATGCTACAGAGTTATAGTAACAGAAACAGCATAGTACTTTCACCAAAACGGGCAAGAAGACCAATTGAATAGAATAGAAGACACAGAGATAAACCCAAATCAATACAATTATCTCATACTAGCAAAGACACTAAAAACATCTGTTGGATAAAAGAGAGCCTCTTTTAAAATGGTGTTGGGAAACCTGGAAATCTATATGTAGTAGAATGAAATTCAACCTCTATCTCTCACCCTATACAAAAATCAACACAAAGTGATCAAAAATCGTTTCTGGAATTAGTCCAAAAATACTGCACCTGCTAGAAGAAAATGTAGTTCCAATATTCCAAAACATTGGCTCAGAAACTGACTTTCTTAACAAGATTCCTAAGGTACAAGAAGTAAAATTAAAAGTCAACAAATGGGATGACATCAAATTAAAAAGCTTTCTTACAGCAAAGGAAACAATCAAGAATGTGAAAAAAGAACCTATAGAATGGAAGAAAATCTTGGTCCCCTGCTCCTCAAATAGGGCATTAATATCCAGGATATACAAATAACTCAAAAAAAATTAACACCAAAAACCCCCAAATAAACCAATCAATAAATGGCAAAGGAACTAAACATTTCTCAAAAAGAAAAAATATGAAATATCAATAAATATATGAAAAATGTTCAACATTTCAATTAGAGAAATGCAAATCAAAACTATACTGAGATTTCATCTCACTCTAGTCAGAATGGTAACTATCAAAAATACAAGTAACAATAAATGTTAGCAAGGATGTSGGGGGGAAGGGTACAATCATACATTCTTYGTGGGGTGGCAAATTAGTGTAACTGCTCTAGAAAACAGCATGGAGTTTCCTCAAAAAACTAGGAATAGAACCACCATATAACCCAGCTATCCCACTCCTCAGTATATACCCAAGGACTTAAAATCAGCATACAGTGACAGCCACATCAGTGTTTACAGCTGCACAATTCACATTAGCTAAGCTATGGAGTCAACCCGGGTGCCCTTCAATAGATGAGTGGATGAAGAAAGTGTGATATATAGACAATGAGTATTACTCAGCTAAAAAGAAAAATKAAATTRTAGCATTTGCTGGTAAATGGATGGAACTGAAGACAATCATGCTAAGTGAAAYAAGCCATCCACAGAAAAACAAAGGTTAAATACTTCTTTGATATGCAGAAGCTAATCCAAAATAAGGRGAGTGGATTAAAATAATGAAGATCAGAGGAATAAACAAAGAAAAATAAAATGAAGAAAGGAGGGATGGGATAGGAAAAGTCAGTGGAGTGAATTTGACATAATTTTCCTATGTGCATCTATGAATATACTATACTGAATCTCACTATCATGTACATCCACATGACACTAATTTTAAAAAAGCTCAAGAAAACTATAAGTAAATAGCAGAAAGATCAATAGAGTAAAGGAAAGGGAACAGGTGATAGGAGAAAGGAAGGGGAAAGACAAATACTGGGGATTGAATTAAAACAAATTATATCCCATGCTTCTATAAAGATGCCATAGTATATTGTATAGTAAYATGTAACTAAAAAGAACCAATTTAAAAAAGGTAAAGAACTTTATTTTAKGGACATTTTAAGGTGTTTTAAATATGAAAAGTATTTGGAATGATCATCTAAAACGACATTTTAAAAATTAGCTTATAATAGAGAAAAATTAGTGTTTGTCATAGCTGATTTGTTAAAAAAAAACTATTTTATTTAAAGGAATTAGATTTTAGTTCAGTAGGTAAAGGAGACTTTTTGTAGAGTGACCTCTGCAGCCTAGTGCTTTACTTTGTGTTGTAACATTGTAGACAACATAATTACATGTGGAAACAATTACTAAAATATCTTCATATTTTGCTATTCAATTTGATTAAAGCCATCCACCTTAAAAAAATAAAAATAGTTTATCAAAACAATTAACTTTTGAACCAGAAACTATTCTTCTTGGAACCCATCTGAAGGAAATAATTACAAATTTGAAATAATAAAGGTAATTAAGTACTAAAGTACTACTAMTAATAATAGTGAAAATAAGAAAATATGCAACATTGTAAAATGGTTTGTACATGAGAAAAATTACAGAATAGAACACAGACATTAAATATGCTTATAAAGATTATATAATAGCATGGAAAATGATCATGGTATAACATTAAGATACAAAGAAGTACACATTTTATAAAAATATGACAACGTAGCTTTTTCAACCCTAGGTTTAGAAATATGAAGTTGTTTTTATTGCAAGATAAACCTATGGATGATTATTTGAAACTATCTTTCTCTATTTTCTAAACGTTATTTCGTGTATGCATTAGGTGAAATGAAGACTAAATATTAATAAAAAGACTTAGCACAAATATTAGAGCTTAACAAAAATAAATAGTCCCTCAACTTGCCATCTACTGTTGAACTTCCCTTAATTAAAAAAAATAACTACAAAATGTTTTTAAATTGTTGAAGTTATCAAGTTAAAAACAGGTTTCCAGTGTAGTTGAGAAAAAATAATAAACCAATATATTTATCATTTCACTAATCAAAGGAGGGAAAACCCTTCTCTTTTCTAAGTGACATGATCATAGTATATTTCTGCTATTGCTATTCTATTGCCTAATTATAACCTGTTTTATGTGCATCCTACTTTACAAAAGGTAAACAATGTAGCTTTCTGAAGTAGAARCACAAAATAATAATAGTAATATCAATGCTACTACTGAACTTTAACAACTCTACCTTTTTACTTTTTCTTTTGCAGTGCTGGGGATTTAACCCAGGGCCTCAGGCATGCTAGGCAAGCACTCTACCTCTGAGTTACACCCCAACCCACCCCTCTACCTTTTTAATTAACAGCTTTCCAAATTATGCAAAATTTCTGTTATATAATAATCTAGAAATGTTCTGATATACCATAATTTAACCATGAAATCCAAGACCAAAGATTCAAATTATTTTATGAAAGGATTTCAAATATATTTTAACAGGAATTTTGATTCATGCATGGCAAAAACGGTTTGAAAATGTTGAGAGTTTGTATTATAATTTTAGGGAAGGATTAACAAACTTTTTTGGTAAAGGCTCAAATAGTACATTTCTAGGATTTTGTGGGCCATTTAAAAATATAGAAACAATTATTAGCTTATACCATGGGGGGTTATTATTGATAACTTATTTTAAGGTCATTGCATACTAGTATGTGGAATGCTTTTATCATCCTGCATTCAACCCCCAAAATTGTATCTGACCTTTAAAGTCCTCAAGCCTGTTCTTCATGAAAACTTTCAGGGTATCTCTAAATAAAAAAAAAGAGAGAGAGAGAGAGAGAGAGAGAGAGAGAGAGAGAGAGAGAGAGACTTTTCTTTCTTTGAAGGCTCATGGTATTTTGGACCTTCTCTGCTTTTTTGGATAACTACTAAACTTTGTCCAGTTATTTGTGTATCAAGAACTCTCTAACATGATTTTTATTGACTATGATGCTCAGCACACAGTACAGTGTTAATATTAACAATTGAACAGAATGGAAAAATAACTACTTATCATCCTTCATTCCTAGCTGTGGGCTCCAGGAATAACCACTTTTAAGGGCTGAAATATCGACATTAAAATTATTTGCAAGTCTTTAAAACACACATGGATTTTCATAACATTAAAAATTGAAAAATGTTATCATGGAATCAGGAATGGTTTCTGCATTGGCAGTGGACACTGATAAAAGAGCAGGGAAGGGGGAAGGGGGGCAACTAGTGACGGGGCACAGGACACTTTGTGAGATCCCTGCATCCAGCTGGCCACTGGTTCTTTCACTATTCTCCCAAAGGTTAGAAAATCATGAGGCCTTCCATGTATCGAAGGTCCTGGGGTCTTCTGGTCTCGACATTCCTTAGTCTTGCCATGTTAAATGCCACCATCCTACACACCCAGGAAACCCAGGTATAACAAAGAACTCGATTTTATAGAACTCCAAGTCAAGTTTAGGGTGTCATAGGCGATTCTTATAATTTTACCTAAATCTAAATTTCAACTATAAGGATGCAGTAGGAAATCTTTGGAAACTCTGGAACCACTATGCCTGAACTCAAATCCTTGAAAGGCCCCAAATTAGCTGTATGATACTTGGCAACTCACCTAACCTCTTCAAGATATTTTTTTTTCCCATCTGTCGAAAAGAGATAATGATTGCATTACCTCACCCTTGGAAAGACTGGGCTCTTGCAAGATATGATGAGTTAATATATGCCTTTAGAACTGTGCTTAGAACATGGTAAGCTTCTATCAAAGTAAGCTATGGATAAGTGCACATATAGCTAACAACAAAGAACGTTGCTAGTATTAAACTCTAAGAAGCCACACATAACCCTTGCAAGCTTTCAGATATGTATTGTGCTTTATTTGATTCTTGAGATAGAATTTCCATAGGAAAGAATGTACAGAAAAATAGGAAACACATCGTGTAAGAATTGTCAAATAATTTTTAAAATGCAATAGAAGGAAATCAGCAAGCCGAAAATACACGAATGATTATGTGACAAAGAGACAAAAGGGAAAATATTGAATCCCTCTAYCATATCACAGCAGTATTTCCCAAGTTTGGGCAGTATGCAATGGCCAAAATCAGCTTCCATGCATGGGGACAATGGCAAGTCAACTCAGAGGCCATACTTACCCTCTTTCTCCACCTCAGGGAGACCTGCTGTTTTGTCCTTCACCTTAGCGGTGCCTACTTCCCAAAGCTTACTCTTTTCCTTTTCTTCCTTGGAGGTAGGTTTCCTGGACTTCTCAAATAAATTCTCTGCAATCTGTTGGGTTCCTTTCTGCATTTCTTCAAGAACGTTCTCACAGCTTTCCTCTCTTGGCAGAGGCTGGGTCTCCACAGCTGCTTTTGTTATATCTTGGTCTTCAGTTTCAATTTCTAAGGATTCCTCAATTAGATGATGGGATTTTTCTGACTCACCATTTTCACTCAGCTCCTGAGCAGATGAACTTCTAGGACTTTCTTGTGTACTGTTTTCAACATGCACTTCACTGGCTCTTTCTGCAAGATCATCTTCACTGTCACTAGAATATGGGTGACTTCCGGATGAGATTGTTGAAGCTGTTTTAATATAAATGGGAGATAAATATGATGATATTATTGTTGTTCCATAAAGAATCTCATTTAATTGTGGAAACTATATTAGTAATAAATCATACTAAACTTTCTAAAAATAGAGCTTAGTAGACTTGATTTCCTTTTCCAACATTTCCCACATAATCATCATAATAAAGAAAATTCTCTCTAATCTATGAACTATAAAAGTTTTTCATAAGAGCTTCTATTTAATCAAAACCCAAACCTATTGTTTTGATTTGCATTTTGAAACTCATTTTATTGGAAAATCTTTCTAAATATCTACTTTGTTATAGAAAAAAATGAATTATTCTTTGCTTTGATATCGAGGCATGTATTTATTTATCCTCTTGTATAGACCTAGTATTCTCTGTGTATGATCCTCCCATTTTTGTCTACCATAGTATTCACCACCCTGGTGAGATCTGTGCATTTACCCATTATGTTGATATTTAATAAGTGTTATTAAATGATGTGTGTGTGTTTATGTGAGTGTGTGTGTGTGTGTGTGTGTGTGTGTGTATGTGTGTTGAAGGAGATATTGTCATTCTTCTAGTTGCCCTGAAGCAAGGCATTGAGATCAAACTGCAAGTGGAAGTACTGTATTGAAAATATGCTCCAGGAGAAGCATTTAAGGGAATGGAGAAACCCAGGCCAGGAAGAGAAGTAATCAGCCAAGGAGCTATTTGAAACAAGGACTCAACCTCAGCCTGTTCCAACAGGTCTATAACTTAGACCTCTGATGTCTAAGTTATACTAAAAGGCTATAATTAAATTAAGATGGGAGCTGAGTTTTCATCCTTTGGATCAGTGTGATACTAGCTATGGGCCACCCTAGGAAATATAAATTCCTTTGCACTTGCAGGCTCTTTGCCTCTGAGGGTGACACAACTCCCATAGTTCAGGGGAGGGCTCTGAAAAAGGCAGAGAGTGCAGAAGCTGCGAGATGAGCCTGCCAAGCCAGAAAAAAGATTTGAGCCATCCATTCAGGTGGTACTACAGATACATGGTCTAAAAATTTAAAGTAGTCAACAGTGGTTTGCATACTACCCAAAAAAATCTTCAAAAAAAAAACTCAAAAGAACATAACATAAGCATTGACTCTATAAGGCTCTATAAGAAAGATGCATAGCACAAAAGTCACTGTATACACTGCTCTGGAGCACAGAAATACAAATTTTTTGACCAATAGATATGGTTTATAATTGTTATTATAGAAAAATTTTCAAAGGAAATAGCCTACACTTAAATGCTGCCTAGCTTTCTTGTTTTCTCTTTTTCTCTGTGCACTTATTCATTTTTTTCTCTTTTATTTCTGTGTGACAGSTACACAGATGGCTGAAGCAGCTAACACAGAGTTTAAGAGAAAAAAAAATGCCTGTCTTTACCTTTATTCTCTTCTCTCTGTCCCTCCAGCCCCATCAGCTCTCTATGACAGGTCTGAGCATTTTATGTATAGTCACAGAGACATATCAGAGTTTCCACTAAGATTTGAGAGATGCTACATAGCAGCAAAAAAAAAAAAAAAAAAAAAAAAAACTAGAAAAAAGCCTTTGAGCAACAGAACCCCTTAAGCATAATTTCATTTGTTCTTATCTCCCTGGTACCTTGACAAGCACACCAGATGACCACTATTCTTCAAAGAAATTACATATTTTAGCCACTTATTCTTTATTTTCCATTTTACAAAATCTGGATATGCAAGGGAACATGGCAGATCAAGGAGAATTGTTCTCCATTGGATTTGTATCAGTTCAAAAACCTTAGGGTCCATGATCTCCCCACTTGTAAGGATTTTATAGCTATTTTAAAAAGGAAAAGCAGATCTTGCTTACTAGCAATTTCATCCATAACCTTCATTAATCGCAGTTAGTTAGGATACAATGTTATACTTAGTCTGAGATTCCAAAAATACATCTATCACCAGTATATTGGCATGATGACTCTCTCTTTTGGCCCTGAGTATTGTTCATTTGATAAAAAATAAACACTCTTCTATCTTCTTTAGTAGCTTCTATTAATTGTATTATTTTATTTCAAAAGGCTGACACACGCTCTGGTTCAATTTTGAGTCAGTCCTTCAGCAAAGAAAGATCAGGAGAATGAATGGCCTTGAAGTGGCGAGGGCACCTGACCTCCTATATAAACTCATTTCAGTTTTCAAATCTCTCTCTAACCTCATGGTATAATTCAGTTTCAGTCTCATTTCTTGCTCTCATTTTCCATACAGACTAGAGTAAGATTTTGCTTACAAAAAAAACTCCAAAAGCTTCAGGGCCATGGAATGAGATTTTCAAAATGATTTCTATTTATTCTTTTTGAAATGAAAAACATTTTATATTAAAAAACCTTTCATATAGAGGAAATTTAGGGACATATATGTAAATTTTTTTCATCAGGAGGGAAAATGTCTCTTGGAGGCATGTTGGTAAACAACTTTACATCCTCTTGATTCCATTTGTCTCTTCCTGGTATAAATGCTGAAAGGACTTGTTYTTGGTCCTTTTGGCAAAGAAAAGGTCTGCACTCAGTGTTGGATGCCTTGGCCAAAGCTAGCAAGTTTGATCCCATTGTTTCACATTCTWTGCAGCATCTGTGACTTATTCTTATCACAATCAGTCCTCAAATCCTTCTTCCCTTTTCGTGTTATCGATATCTCTTTGAGAACGAGTCCTGTATTTTTTTTCATCATTGTGAATAAAATCTTATTTTATAAAACATAGAATTGAGATAAAATAATATGTTCTTCTGTAACACAAACTGTAGGTGTCTCCATCATAACTCAGCTACTTACTGGCTTTGAGTTTGCTTATGGTACATAATTTCTCTAAATCTCTGTTTTCTAGACTTTAAAATACAGATAATTCTACTTGTTCTCTACAAGTCATCATAAAAATTCCATAGCAGAAATTTAACCTCATCAAATTAACCATTTCCTTATAACTTTTAGTCTTTTCCTATAATATAATGGTATATTCTAATAAATTTATTTTTTGTCATTATAGCTACCATTTACTGAAGAAAAAAATTAATAAAGCTTGATCATGATTATGCACTTACTATATACCAAACAGTGTGGTAAACTCTTTATAAACATCTTATTTAAYCCTATGGAGTAGTCCCTATCCTCTTTCTTTCTAGATTCAAAAAGTGAGGTCCAAAAACATTAAATAATATCCAATGGCTATTATCTACAAAGCAGAAAGTTTTGCAAAACAACTGTATTGCATTGATACAAGGCAATAAAACCAAACCCCTCTACCTACTTAAACACTCTGAAACAGGAAGGTCTGACTATCATGGACTCACTATTGCTCCTTTTAGGTAATCTTCTACTGTCACCACTCAAAGACAAGTGGGATATAGTTCTCTCCAAGATCAGAACTCATGAGATAGTCTGTCCTCCTTTTTCTACTTCCAGTAGTTAATCTTCATTTTGCCAACCACTCTGGAGTCCAAAGCATACATAATACACTCTGAAGTATGTAATATGAATACAGCAAAATATAGCAGCCAAAACCTTCCCAGGTTTATTTATAACATTGACGATGATATATATAATTTATAAAAATACATATGTATTTATATAAATAGTATCATATATCATATTTATATATAAATATATATAAATTAAATATATGAAAATGTAAATATATATACATTTCAGCTACTTAACAAATACTAATGAAGTAATTGTGGAAATTCACCACAACTCCCTTTCTTATTCCTTAGTCTTAAGAATTTATGGCAAAATMTATATCAGTGACACTCCTGTTTTCTTCAAATGAGCCATGACAAATGAATTTATATATTCTACTACTACTTGTATGAATAATTCTATCTTGATTATACTCATGAGTTCCTGAAACTGTCAATATTTTATATCAAATACTAGGATTCAGTCAATATCTTTATGTTAAACAATACCTAAATAGACAAATGCTTTATATTCAATAAATATAATAGAATGGATATGTGCTTAATGAAAATGGAGATAGAAATCATTAAATTTCAGGTAAGAGTAGTAATTAGCTATAAGAACATATGTCTTCATACAGACAATTGCCATGAATTGTCTCAAATCATCAACAAGAAAAAATATGTGCATTACTTTGTTCAAATGAATAACTATAAGTAAACATAGATRTATCAGAGGGAAAAAAATCTCCTTATATTTTGCTGTGTAAGTTTTATATTTTAGTTTATTAATGCAGTCAATCAGCCCCTCATTCACAAAAGTTTCCTGAGTGTCTAGGTAGTGGCATTGTTGTATAATGGGAAGAACTAAGACCACAGAGAAATAACTCATATAAAATATTTTGTGTAAACTAAGGAATGGTGTTGCATTTAAGTTCCTACTTTGACTTCCTACTTTGATTATTGAGACATGACTGTGGATTGAGGAATACTCTCCATTTATAAAAATGACTTCTAAGAGAGTGAAAAATAACCCAAAGAAATCATTATCTTTCTTACTAGTAAAAAAAAAAAAAAAAAAAAAAAAAAGCTTCACGTCTTGCTCTCTTCATATACTAGAAATGATTTTCTGTTTTCTGTCTCTGTCTCTCCCTCATCCCTCTCATAAGGAGCTACTTAGTCTTTACCTCTTACTTGTAGGCACTATCATCCAAACTGTCCATAAAAGAATAAAAGCATATTCCCAGTGACATGATACTTTCCCTGCAACCTTATAACATTCATCTGTGACAATATATTTTCAACTGGTAAATTAGTGCCTGGGGTTGCCAACACAAATGCAGAGAAAGGAGGCTGTCATTCTTTTTAAATGATAGGAAGGCTCACACATCATTCCTAAACCAGAGTCCTCTCTAAGTCAGCGTTCAGTCCACAGCACTCTATCACTCACGGGCTGCTCAGCACAGTGTGTTCATCAAGGCGGGCCAGCACAATTGTTAGCTGGCAGTTTAAATGGGGCTGACTTGTCACAAGAGTGACAGCCTGGGCAATTGTTTGCCCTCTGGGAACAGGTGCAGGCAGGTTCAAATGAAACACATCCAAATACTAACAGCAAGATTCTTAATCATGTCAATAAAACGGATGGGCTGGTGTCTGAGTTTCAGTGGTCACAATATGCCTCTTACACTTTTGAAGATGAAATGCTGTCTTGCTTTTCAACAGAGTGGAGGAATCTATCATGTCATCATTTTAAATACATGCTAGTTATTTGCTGAATGAAATCTRTAATTCTGATACTTCACAGGCTAAAAGGCGTGTTTTTGAATAACGCAAAGGTAGATTATCAAAATAAAGGGATGGAAAATAAGTGAACCTGGTGGTGAAGGAATGAAAGAGCAATAAGCAATGAGATTTTATTTCAGAATAATGGTGTTTTCATGTAGATGCCCAGGATGCAAAAGGACCTTTTAAAAGGATAGTTTGATGACATCAATATCAAAACAACAAAAGAAAACAGCTGACCAACTTAATTAATTTTTGACCATTAAATTTTCCAAGCTTTGTGGACTGGCTATGTTCTTATAGATTTTTTATTGCATACTTATTTAACATTCTATATTCTGTATCTATACAATGCTGCTAAATGTATTTTTTTAAAATTCCAATAATAATTATATAGCATAAATGYACCTAGGCATCATGGTGTTAACCAAAACATCATAGAATTGGTGTTATTTTTAATATTTATATCAGCTCTGTGAGGAATAACAAGAATAACACACAGTCAAGGCTTTCCTAGTGTAAATAATTTATGTATTATTAATGTGTACAAATAATTTGAAGGACAACGTTTAACACAGATTGAATCAATGAATGTAAAATGAACCCCTGAAGAGAACTTCATAAAACAAAAAGCTCTGTGGAGGCTGCTGAAGTGGGCAGAGTAATGGAAGAGGAGAGGGATGAGCTAGAACTTGGCAAAAGCCTCAGAGTGAACCCAGAACTCAGTCTAGGGAGGAGGAGAGACAAATGTGGGTGAAATTACAAGTTGCCCATTTTTATTTCCTCTTTTTAAAAACAAAGTAAGACCAAAAAAATTGTAGATAAGATAAAGGGCTCAACATAAATGCTTTAAGGAAACAAAATCCTTCTATTGGAGGGACTTACTTTAATTTTAGGCAACGGGATATATTCTGATTTTGAAGAAATGCGATTTTCTCCAAATTTTAGACTCTGAAGTTGGGTAACATTTGCATACTGTTTCCACTACTTTTTGGCTATGTGACCTTGGGAATTACTTAATTTACCATTTCAAAGTTTATTTATTTATAAAATGGAGATTAAAAGAAAAAAAGTGTTTTTCCAAATTATTTGAAGTAAATGAAATGTCATATAAAACATTTAGTAAAAGGCCTAGCACAGAGTAAGTCTTAATAAACAGCAAGCTATTATGTGATTTATTACATTATCAATTTGATGCCTTTTGAAATACTGCTAACATCCTTCTCTGTCTGAACACGAACACACACACACACACACACACACACACAAATTATGCTGTCTTAGAAGAATCCATTCAATACCCCAAAACAACATGATTACATAGCTCAAAACTAATCCCTAGGTGACTGATATTCAGAGTTCCAGAATCTTCATGAAACCAACAACTTGAAAATCTCCCACCATTATTGTAGAAATAAAAAATTAAGAGTCTTTTGTGTTTAAAATCAGATATATTTACAAGCAAACACATGTTCAATCCTTTTCCAGGCTCAAGTCACTTGTGTAATTGCTTTAAAATTATTGACTCAGGTGATATCACTTTTCCATTGACTTCTTTAACCTTCTCTATGCCTATAGGCACATAAACTTAATTCCAAAATTCACATTCAAAATGAGAAAATATATATGTATATGTGTGTGTATATATATATATGTATATATATATATACATATATATATATATCAGGCATATATAATCTAAGAAACATAAAACATATGTATTAAGAGAAATTATATAGAGAAGGCCTGATTGAAAACATTAAAATATATTTTAGTGTCTAACCATTAATCTTAAGTAGTTAATAAAAATGAGTGAAAATCTTGTTTTCAAATTTACTAGTAGTTAACTTCATCCTAATTTTTTTGAATTGTTTTACTTTTTACCTTGGCTATAAGGAAGTTCAGGATTAGATTTTTATTGCAAACATAGTCATAGTTCCATCTCTGCTTCCTAGCAAAATTATTTTCTGTTTTACTCTAAATGATTTCTATTTTATTATTATTATTATCATTGTCATTATTATTGCCTTGCACACTTGTGCATAAAGTTTTAGAATTATTTGAATTATTTTTTGAAGACGGTGCAATTGCAAACTATTTGCTTTGTGATTACTTGATTACTTACTCCCTGCTCATATTATCCTAAAGTGTTCCATAAATTTAAAATTATGGGATTTCATACAGGAAAAAAATTTTTGAGGGGTAAAAAGAATGGAAAAACTGGACTGCCATTCAAAACATAATTATAATGTGACATTGTTCTCTGGTCAGAAGCAAATTACAAAAACATACAAATACGTAAATATAAGAGAGATTTATTGCTATTGCTGGGAAATGCTCAAGATGTATCAAGAAAGATATTTGATTAACTAGAAACCACAGAGCCTTGGCCAAATCCTCTTATAGGACAAAGCAGAAAAATGTATTTCTTCTTGTATTGAACAGAATTTGGTGAATTAAGATCTTTTTAAAATGTCTTAAAAATGTATGTATGCCTCGGGTAATGGAAGTTTCTCTTGCTACCTGAATACTATATTTTCCCTGTGAACATTTGGAATCATTTTATGGTTAAAGATTATAAGGAGGCCACAAACTTATAAGGATTAATTAATTATTAAAGATTATAAGGAGGCCACAAGCAAGAGTTACTTGTCATTTTTCAAAAGGCACAAAGGGTGTGCATGCATATGTGTGTGTGTGTGTGTGTGTGTGTGTGTGTGTGTAAGAGGAAATTGTGATAAAAAGTATATAGTATCTTTCTAAGTAAATTGAAGATGTACCACAAGCTTTGACTAAAAACCTATTGAAAAATTCCATCAAACTAAGGAAAGAGAGGATTAAGGAACACATCTGAAATTTGGATACCTATGGGAGGTTGATTGTCCAGCATCCTGTGGTTACACAACGTGTTCTAAACATCTGCTTAAAGAAAGATTATCTTATTAAATATCGGGGAGAGAATAGCAGTAACACACCGACTTAGCAGCCCAAGCCAACGATAAGCCAAACAACTCGCCTTGTTTATTCTCTTCCGATTCACTCTCAGAGCATCCATCATCCTCATCTTTCACATTGTCATCAGCATCTGGTGCCTTCAATGACAAGATTTCACTCTCCTCAGGGCCTAAATTATCTTTTTCATCCTCTGAGGGTGACTTTGATATTCCATTCATTTGATCATCAGCCTGTCCTTCTTCATTAGCTTTCTCATCTTGTTTCTCCTCATCTATTTCAAAATCTTCTTCATATTCTGAAGAAAAAAAAAAAGAAAAGAAAATCTCCACTGTGAGAATGAAGATAGAATCCCTGATACTTAACCTATTTCTCTTTAATGAGAACTTTGACTCCATTATCTCCTCTTCTGGGGGCCTTCCTTTGCTGCTTTTTTTTCACACAATTAGCGAACATGGAAAAGTAACAGGAAGTGATCGAAGACAGCAATCAGTTACGTACCCGAGAGCACAAAAGAAATGAGGCCCCAAATGACAAGACTGAAACCTAATAAAAGTTCATTTACAAATGAACATCATCATCTACAATGACCGAAAGGGAATGAGAGGAACTTGAGATAAGACAATAAATGAGAAGTAAATTAAAAATGAAGAGAACAGTATTATAATAATGAAAGTTAATTTGGAGACCCAATGAGGTCATATTTCATATGAAGAATGTTCAAAATATTTGGATATCAAGTTAATGAACAATGACGTGGAAAATTTCAATTAATAAGTTCAAAGGCTCTGAGAAGTAACGCTATGAATAGTACATCCTTTGAGAACCAAATGGACGTTAAGAAAGCATTGTGAAGGATTCTATAGCTAGGTGAGAGTGAAATCATGTATATTATTCATCACTACAATAAATGAAATAGTCACATTCCAAGTATAAAAATTCTTACAAAATAAACTATTCTTGTCACAGTCACAAATTTGCTTCATTCCCAACAGAGGTGCAACAAATCTGTAGCAGGAAAAGGAAGTTGTCATATCAGATAAACTCCAGCAGTCCCTCATGATTATAATTTTTCACCTTTCATATTTAATTGTTTCCCTTTTTCTTCCACCAAAAAAACCCTAAAAATCTTGAAGTGACAACATGCCAAAGATAGAGAGCAGAAGGATCTCATGCAGAACCAATTAAGCAAATAAATAATTATCCTTAACATAAAAATTACAGGGAAAATAAAGGCTTCCCAATTTTGTGAGTTTTAGTTATTAGATATTCTGGCTTCTCTTCCAGTGTTGGGGCCTCTTGGGTAATTTACTTGAGAGCTGTCCACCCTGCTGCAATAAAAGGAACTTAATTTAGAAATAGATGCCCTATGCATATAAAGAAAGCTCTGTTAATGTGGAGAACAAATGTGGGAGATATAAGAAGGCAAAACGAAATAAAAATCTATAATGAAGAAAGCAAAAAAAAGAGAATTCACAAAAATACTTTCAAAAAATATTTAATACGTTTAAACAAGAAATATGAACTTCAGTAAAACAGAGTTATAAAATAAGCCACAGCTGGAGCTGTGGCTCAGTGGTGGAGCACTCGCCTGGCCTGTGCACAGGTGCTGGGTTCGATCCTCAACACCACAAAAAAATAAATAAAACAAATGTTAAAAAAAAATCTTTTAAATAAGCAAGAAGATGAAGAATTTGGTTCATAATTCATGACACTAACAGGAAATACTAATAAAACTTTTATATTTTGATTCAAGAATTGCTGGCCAGGTTAAAGGATAGTCATCTCTTGGCCCAGGTTACTAACAATCAATAAGCTGTCACTGAGAATGTCCTATGAAGACAAGAATAAAACWGCAAGATTAAAACCCTACAATAAGACAATGCTGCCCATTAAGAAACCTCCRATTTTTGATGAGAAAATAAAAGTAGACACACAAGAGATAGTGTATTTGTTTTATACTAGCTTTTATATAGAGTCCTCAGTAATGTTTCAATACTACTGGGCTCGATAACTGTGGATTTTTATATAGGACTCATGGTCAATTATTTGAGGTTGTGCTGAGTACAGTAGTTCCTCCCTCTAATGAGGTTTCATTTTTTGTGGTTTTAGTCATCTGTGATCAAATGCAGCATGAAAATATTATATAGAAAATTCTAGAAGTTAAACAATTACTAAATTTTAAATAATTAGAATATGTGCTCAGAATTATTCTATTTTATTATTATTTTAATCACTGTGTCTAACTATTATTATAGGAAAAATCATAATATAGATAGGGTTCAGAACTATCCATGGTTTCAGACATCTGCAGAACATCTTGGAACATACCTCCCGCAGATGAGTGGGGATAGAATGGAATCAAAGAAAGGCCACTGGTCATTTTAAGGAACTTCAAAAGAGTTCAAAAGTGGAGGGATTAAGCTGATTGGCAGAACACATACATATGTCATTTTAAAGATATTTGCCCTGATCACAAGATAAGCAGGGGCCCAGACAGGACATGAGTGGTTGCTCCAATGCCATCCATCATATTACATAGTGGAAAAATATGAGGGGTTTGCAGTCAGGCAGTCATGTATCTAACACTAAGTTAAAGCATTCCATAGTTATGTGATCTTAAACAATTTGTTTGACATCTTTAAGCTTTAATATCTTCATAATGTGGTCAGTACCATGAATAAATAGAATGAATAAATAGAATTAAAAGCAATAATCTTTTACACAGTGCCATGAACTGAAGGTGCCTAATAAATATCAGAGAYGAGTAGTAACAGTGGTTGTGACTTTTTAGTGGAGGGAACTGATCATAGGGCAAGAGAAATCATATTCAAAATGCACTCCCTGGACAGCAGTATGGTTTAGAGGAGGCACCTGATTAAAATCAGATCARTACAAGTGTACACAATTAGGACATAATTACAGTTACATTATTAAAATAGAGCATAACATTGAAGGAACGTGTAGTAAACCATAAGATTGGTCCCTGTATCCTCTTTTGCAGAAGCTTCTGTGTTTTCTTTCAGAATATAAAATGAAAGGCTGCCTGGCTTTGTTCTACCCCTACTATCATCATKTCTAAATATCAGCCTTCTGTGAGTCACAAGCCACCTTCGGGTTACCAAATCATGGTTTCAGTATAAAAGACTAGTGGGATGCTTTTTGGCATCCTTCCTTTTTTTTCATAATTTTTTCTGCTCCTTCATCTCCTTTTCCTTCTTCTAGAGAATTTAATTAGCCTATTGTTTCCCATCCCCAGTATAGAGGACTTGAGTTAAAACCAGGTCAACATCAATGCAGCCGCCACCTCCCTCATGAACCTCTACTCAAACTTCTTGCAGCTCCTACCTACATCAGTGGCTGCTCTGCAGAGCCAAAGCTCAGCTGGGTTTCAYTGTTGTTATTGTTTTGTTTTGTTTTAGTGTCTATTTAAACTCCATTAACTAGCCAACACAGAAAAAGGACCTTGGGGAAAGCTCTATCTTAGGCATAAAGTATATGTCTCATAGTTCTAGCCATGTTGGTTTAAAAAAAAAAARAGAATGAAGAAATTGAAAGCCTTTTTTTTCTACTCAACATGGTTTTAATAAATCTCCATGTCACTAAAGTTAAAACAAGTGAAAACACATCCTCATGTGTTAATGTCTTTGCGATTGATGCTGCTACCAATATTTTAAATTCTCAGTTCAAGATAAGGATTAAAACTAGGCAGGATCATGGAGAGAGGTGAACTGGGTAAAAGTATTGTGGGTGAAATCTCTCTTAGGAAAAGCACATGATTTCAGTAATAAGCAAACATGAAGCCCAGTGCTAAAATAGATCTGTGGTTTTTCTCTCATATTTCTGAACCCTTGGGCAGCAAYAAGATGAGATGAGGAAGAAAATACCTGGGATGCCGGCCCTTCCACAGGCCAACCCAACCTGTAGTCATTGTTCCTCTAATCTAGGCTTTGTCTACTTGGTATAAAAGGGACACTCAGCCACTCTCCCTTTCTGATTCTTTAAATCCACAACCATCGGGAATCTAGGAGAGCTTTTACAGAATAGAAGATTGCACATGGTTTGAATTTCTAAGCTTTAGAACTGGACAAATCTCTAATGAATCTTAGTTCCACATTCTTACTAGTGTCTGACTCTCCAATTTCAGCCTGTAAAATGCAGGGAATAGTTATATCTACTATATATATATTATTATTTTGAATCTTTTAATGTCTGCCCAAAGGTTCATATGTTGAAAGCATATTCCCAATACAATAAGCTTCAGAGGTGGGGCTTTTAGGCAATGATTAGATCATGGGGCTGTAATATCACCAGTGGATGAATCCATTTGATGGATTCATAGTGTGAATAGGCTACTGGGTGATAACTATAGGCAAGTAGGGCATGGCTGGAAGAAATAGGTCACTGGGTGTATGTCCTTGGGGATAATATCTTGTTCTTGGCTCCTCACCCCCCTCCTTCCTGGTTACCAGGAACTAAGTAGCTTTCCTCAACCACACTCTTCTACCCTGATTTCTGGCTCATTTCAGACCCAGAGAAATGGAGTTGGTTGGCCATGGACAGAACCTCTGAAACTGTGACCCCAAATAAACTTTTTGTACACTGTTGTTTGGGGTTTTGTTGTTGTTGTTTTTTGTGGACAAGTATTTTGTTTACAGCAAGGGAAAACTGACTAATACAATATCAAATAAATATATTTGATGTTGTGTGTGTGTGTATATGTATGTGTGTGTGTGTGTGTGTATATATATATATATATATATATACACAGAGAGGAGATAGCCAGGGGGCAGGAAAGAGAAAAAAGCAAAAAAAAAAAAAAAAAAAAAAAAAAAAAAAAAAAAAAAAAAAAAAAAAAAAAAAAGGCAGACAGTCTCCAGACCCATGAGCCTATGACAACTGCTTTTAGTGATGGAATACTCTTCAGCATATAATCATATAGATTATACCTACCTGACACAAAGCCATTCACTTGCACTAAAGAAAAGAACATTCAAAACCTAAAGAAATAAGTGAAATTCTATTTGGTTAAAATGATCTGTGCAAAAGTCAATAGGGCCTCTGGCTCCCACAGGCAGAAATTCCTCTTCTACTCCCTCTTCCTCACAACAGGCACCTTCAACCCTTGGGGTCTGTGTGCACTCCTCCAAGATAGGGGATGCAGGACTCCATTCAAAGAAGCAGGGAAGCAGGTTGGGGATTCCTTACCGGACACAGAGCTGCCTAAAGATCTCTATTGAGGAGCAACATTTAATGCATATTTTTGATAAAATGTTAAGAGTTTAAGTAATAGCAACAGCAACAAAACAGCCCTGTGATAATTTATTACCATATTTGAAAGCATTTCTTTGGTTGTTTTCCCAATCATTCCGTCTTTGTTTTCCTTTAAGTTCCATTTCTTCCATAGCAGTTCTCACTTCTCTGACTCCCATATTTATTTCTTGAACTGAACAAGTGGCTGAGAGAGAGGTTTTGTTCACCTCCATCTCATTTCTTCTTGATATCCCATTCTCTCTATCCTTCCTCAGTTCTTCTCTTTTATCAGTGCTTTTCTCTTTCCTAGGTTTCATTGAAGATGGTTTTTTGTCAAGGCCCATTGCAATAATGCACCTATGAAAAATATTAGCATAAAGTGTTTATTAACTTCTATGTGGCAAGGTAGAAACTCAAAACTTTTTAAAGTGCTTATCTCTTATTGTAGTAAGAAATGGTATGAGAAATATTTTTCTACTGTACACATAATTTAATTAAAAATAAATGATTGATACTAAAATCTCATCAATGAATACAAATTCTTAACAATCTTACCCACAAAATAAACAACTTATTAACCAAGAACTACAATGTCAAACCAAAATTTGTACCATAAAATAGATTTTTATCTTATAATAGTCATGAGTAGAAACTAATATATAATAATAGATAGATAATTAAAGTCCTTCAATGAGACTTATGTAATAAAAGAACATTCAGGTTTATAAATAGGGAAGCTGAGATAAAAATAATCAGAAGATGGCATTCAGTCTTTGATAATTTATTATCCCCATAACATAACAACAAAAGGCATACAAGGTTGACTGTAAATAAGTATGATGGATGTTTTTAAGAAACATACATAGTCACACATAATTGTGTCCTTTAAATAAATAACTCAGGAGTCTGCACCCTAATTCTAATAGAATTGACATTATTGTTTTTGAGTGGCCTTTTGAAGCCTGTACTGCAGTCTGCCAGCAATTTTTGATGGCAATAATATTTTGTTCCTCAAAAAGGGCAACAATTTGTGGAAGTCATGAAGTCATGCCAAGTAAAATCTGGTGAACCACCCAAATGATCTGAGTGTATTATAACATTAAAAAAAGTTTTTATTCAGTTGTAACAAAAGTGATGCGAATAAATTGTTTGCTATTGATTAAGTTAGTATTAAAGTTAGTATAAAATTAAGAGTTTCAGTACTAATAATCTATACATTAATAAAATGATGTTAATGATAAATTGTTGAATACACTCTCTGTGCCACGCTCTTTACTGGGCACTCTATTTATAGTATCTTAAGGGATTCATCACCCACAAACCATTACCAAACAATTGTCACTGTTACACAAATGGAGAAACTGAAGCTAAAAAGCTTCCATGACTTGCTCAAGGTCATCCAGTAGATTAGCTGGATGTATGTAGGTATGTAGATGGAATTCTTGCTCAAAACTGTCAGACTTCATCACCTTCCACTGGAGTACAACATAGTGTTCCATGACAGGTGTAGCTGCTAAGATGATCAGTGACACAGACAAATGTCACGCAGCTGGGTTTCCACCAGAGAAAGTACCCACTCTCACCAGAAACTAACACAATTGGTAGAAGTTTCCACCAATGCCCGCAGACAGTCCATGACTTGGAATAGGTGTCTGGCAGACATCAGCTTCAATGTTCCTCCTTCTCTAGAACTTCACATGGCCCCCTCTCTCCATGTCACACACTACTGGGGAACTAAGTCTCTTGTAGTGAACAGGTGAAAAGGCTTCCAAGTGCAGTCAAAACTTGTCAGCCCAGGAACAATAGGAGTAATAGTAAAATCTGAAAATGGTCCTCAATCTAAATCAATCTAAATCTAATAGCACTTTTTAAAATTGAAGATTTCACTGAATTCCAGCCACGTTCAGTCTTGAAATAGCACAGGAATTGGTCTTAGTACATTCTCTCAATAAGCAAACACAAGAACTGAGTTCTATCACTTAACATTTCAATATCTCCCCATGGGTGGGGGAAGCTAAAAGGATTTGCACAAAAGCTATCATGCTGTAGAAAAATGAAATAAGAAAATAAACTTACCTCACCCATAATAAGCATGATAAATATTTCTGGACTATAATGGTGATGTGGTGATGTGCTTAGCACATAGCTTTCCTTGGAATAAAGGTGTCATGCCTCTTCACAAAATATGATTACTACCATTGCCTTCTGTTCAAGCTGTTCCTCCCTCATTAATGGCAACACCAAGCCCACTTCCTTGGAGCTTCTGATAGGCTGTTACCTTTGGTTATTCTGGGACAATGTAAAAGCTTTGATGCCTCTCTACTGCATGCACAGACTTTTATTGCCCATCTGCTAAGGGGAATTGGACGAACGAAGTGAGTAGCATCTGTGCTCCCCTTGTCATGACGACCTATTTGACTTCCGAGTATATCTGAGGTGTCAATTTTGATTACTAAAGCTCATTCTGCATTCTCCTTGGTTAGGCAACTCTTCTTCCAAGTTTCACTCTAGCAATTGAAAATAACAACCGTGCCTCTTCAAACGTTTCCCATAATCAAGGGGTGAGCACAATATGTAGAACCTTCACATTTTGGAATTGACCACTGCTAATATTTTCTTGTTTCCTGAAGACCTTAAGAAGGTAATTTCCAATCATTTCTAGAAATAGAAGTCCCAGTGGTTTTATTTGACCACATCTTTCCTTTATCACATTGTAAAATTTGTAGGACCAGCCCTTTTTAAATGAGTTAAGACTAATTTCATTTTGAACAACCTGGAAGAGATAATATACACTCCTTAAAATAACTAAAAGTATTGTAATGGTGTCTCCAAAAAAAGGAATATTCAATATAACCAATGATATCAGTTCTCTTTATAGGTGGTTCTCAAATCTCACTGAAGTTCTATGTATTGGTGCCCCTGGAATAATCGAAGTCATCTCAAATAGGCCAGGGGCCAAATAAACAAGATTTTAGATTTACCTTTCCATTCCTACCCCTTTAAACATGTCTGAATTGACTTTCACCTAATCTGCAACAGGGGGACATCAAACAACACTACTTTGAGATTTACAGGTTTGATTGGAAGAAATGATTCAGAAATTAACAAATTTCTTTAAGAAATTTATAAAACGATTCCTATAAGAATTGTACAGTTAGGTTGAGGGTAACAAGCCTTATCCTTTAATGCCATAACCACTTTGATAATATTTGCAAAGGTGGATGAAAGAAGGTAGAGAGGACTTTTTGTGAATCTGAAATCACACAAAGGATTGTACAGAAGCTAGGAGATGTTGAATAGAACAGCAGATGTCATCAGTAAGGTTGTGGTACACACACCTCCTAAAAAGTGCTCAGAGCTAAAAATGTACAGATTTGATGGGTACATATCCCAAAGAATGCAATGTGTTTGCACGTGGATAATCATAGCTCATTAGTTTTCCTGGCACCAAAATTTTGCTCTAGGCCATTCAATTCTCCTGCTCTCTGGATGATCTTTTTCAGACCTGTTCCCTCCCCTAAAATTTCCAACCCCTCCTCAACTTCAGCTAATAAATGCATTTCATATTTTAGAAAGTAGAAACGATTAGCAGATGACTTTTAGTTGGTCTTCGTAATCCCCCATCTTACCTTTCTCTCTCCCCTATATGCCAATGTTCCTATTGATGCTATAGAAGAAGGACCTTTCTCTTCTTAGGGTTTACAACCCCATGTGAGCCCTAGATCCTATCTTCTCTAGTCTACTTAAGCACAAAGTGCTAGCAATTTTCCCCTTCATGTCATGTTTCATCTATTTTTCCTTCTTTAGAGTATCAATCATATCCATTAGTATAAAGACATGTTACGGTATCACCTCTTAAAAAATAAAATGTTCCTTTAACCCCTATATTCCCTCACCTGGTTACCACCAAATTACCATTTTTAAAGGAAACTCTTTTAAAAATATGTCTATAATCTTGGACCTTAGTTCTTCCCCAATTACTCTGTATCCCACTCTAATTGAGCCTACATCCCTACCACTTCACTATAAATTGTCTCAAGATCACCAAAAACAAATACATTCCCAAGTCAATGTCCAATCTCTAGTTTTCATTTTACTTAATCTACCCACATATTTCAGTCCGTTAAGCATTCCCTTCTTCAAACATCTGTTCATTTCCAAAATATTGGTCTGAGTTCTCTTTCTGAACACTGACTATCCTTGTCAGGCTGGTGCCTCTTGATTTCCCCCACCTCTGACTTGTAATGATGTGCAGCTTATTCTCCGACATTTTCTCTATGTGTATCCTTTCTGAAGCAATCTCACTCCATTCCATGACTTTCAGTGCCGTGCCTTCTACATACAAACCTTTCTCAAATTTAGATATCAAGCCAAGACCCTTTACCTGAGCCAGATTCATACATCCACCTGCCTAGTGAACAGTAACTTACAGTGTCTCAGATATCTCACACTCACTGTGGTCCAAAACCAAAACCCCTTCATTTGATCTCTAAGCCTGCGTTTTTCACAAACCTATCTTAAGTACATGTTAATAGGACATCTTCCTAGCTATTTAGGCCAAAAACTTTTTAGTCAACTTTGATTCTTTATGTCAGCCCTGAATCTATCCATCAAAAAACTCTGTAAGCTCTACCTTTAAAATATATATTGAATCCAATCACATCAAACTCTTTCCACCAATATCTCTTTCCTGAAATAAAAATTTCCAAGATTCTCCCCACTCTGGTGGTTTATTTTTCCCATAGGATTTCCTGTCAGATTGGGCTAGTTGCTCAAAACCTTGCAGGTTTCTCATCCTCCTCTGAATGATGGTCACTGTATGACTTTAGAACTTCTACATGGTTTGGTCCCACTGCTCCTCTGTCTTCATCTTCTATCACTGTTCCATTCCTTATTTTGGCTCTGGTCACATAATCTGAGACACACATACTCCAAGTATGCTTCTCCTTCATGCCTTCTGCATGTTTTTCCTCTCTAAAAAGCTATCAGGAGGAAGAGACCTTTTTTCCTAGTTTCTGCTCAAAAACCATCAGAGAGGTGTTTCCTGACTACCTCACTTAAGACAATTCCTTATCCCATGACCCTTGTGCCCCTTTCTCTTGGTAATTCCCTTATCATGTTTTGTGTTTATCCTGCTTAATGCCATGTGACATGATTTATTAGTGTATTAGTAATGTTATTTTCCCTTCTCCTGTTAGAATAACTTCTATGATAGCATGTCACTTGGTTGGTTCACTCTTGTGTTCTAGTTTGGCATCAAGTCAATTCCCCATGAATATTTTCAGAAAAAAAAAAATGAAAGCCCAAAGGCAAAACTCCCAATTTCAAAGAGAATGTCCAACATGAAAGCTGATAAACAACAGCAAAAACTAACCTTTCATCATACATTTTGTTGTAAGATTGAAATGAAGATAATGAGAAGGCAAATTGGGCCACATCATAATGCAAGCGCACCCCTAATATGCATAACCTTTAATATTCAGTCACACAGAACTGATGCTTGGTACAAGGCATGTGTTTGGGGTTTTAATCCTAGACCAGTTACTAACATCAAAAAATAAAGTAAAAAAAATTTTTTAAAAACTGTCCTCTCTTTTCTATCAGAAATAGAATTTCAGGCAGTTTGAGGAAAAAGAAAAAAAAAGTAAGATGACTTAAAATACTAGCACCTTTTATCTCTATTATATAATCATCTATAAATCTTATATTTTTAATTCCAAATATAAACCTTCAGTGATGTAGTAAACAGCCTTTAACATAGATATTTTGGGCTCATATACACTGGTTTTGCTTTTTAAATCATATAAAGAAATGCATTAATAAACACATAAGAAGAAAACTTCAGCAAAGCCAGCCCTCTACCGCAAGAAATGTGTTTCCATACTTGTAGCAAGGAGATGCTCTCTCCACGCACACAAACCCAAAGTAGCCTCGTCTGCCTCCAAGTCTGGAACCTTTTCGGTGCTTGAATTCACAGCAGGAGCTTAACCTGTTCACCTGCAAACCATTCAGGAAAAAGGTGAGGCTGAAGGGAAAACCATGGTGCCTTTTGGAAATAAACTGAAAGGTCTCTGGAATAAAAAAAAAAAAAAAGAAAGAAATGCATTAGTGAAAGCAACCATGAACCAACATCTTCCCAACCACATTTTTCTTTAGGTAAATACATTGTGTAATAAATCATCTTTTAATTTGAGAACAACTTAAATCACAAAAACACATTCTGTCACTTGGAATTTGTAATAGATGCTCAATACCTTATACAACTCCTCGATATACAATGATATCTAACATTATATGAGCACTTCTTATATTCTAGCACTATGCCTGATTATCTTAGTTTTGCTATTTCTCAACAATCACAAGAGGTGGGAATATTTCTATTGCTATTTCTAGATGAGGAAATTGAAGCTTAGAAGAGGTCGGTGATTTATTCTCTATCATGCAGTAAGTTGGAGAGTTAGTGATTAAAGATAAACATCTCCACAGAGTCCACGCCTGTCTCTTGTTATTTTGCCATCCCTCCCCCTTCCAGGCCAGGGATTGAATTCAGGGCTACTCTGTCACTGAGCTAATCTCCAACCCTTTTATTTTTATTTTGAGACAGAGTCTCCATAATTCGTCCATGCTAGCCTCAAACTTGGGATCATTGTGCCTTAGCCTCCAGAGTTGTCAGATGATACTTGTGCAGCAACATGCACAAATGCTCTTGATAAAGTACATAATGACAAAAGAACACTGTGAGGTCAATCAGATTTTTTAAAAGTTCACATTTTTAGTTGTGGCCTTAAATATCCTAATACATATGTGAATGACGCAGAGTTATTCCATCTGTGTTACTCAATTCTATTTGAATTTGAGACTTCTTTATTCTCACCCACCCACTCACTGAAACATCCTACCAATTAATTAGAAACCAATGGCTGTGATTAATAGTCTTTAATCACCCAAATCTTTGTAATTCTCTTTGACAAAAATCCCACTCAAGAGACCCTAAACTTCAAGACCTACAGACCTTATTCTTTACAATCCTGCTTCTCATGAACAACAGAAGTTTTCAAACTTGAATATGGACCAGAATCATCTAGAAGACTTATTAAAACACAGACTGCTGATATTTACCCCAGAGTTTCTTAGTCAGCATTTCTAACAAGTTTCTAGTCAACTCGGATGCTGCTGGTTCCTGGGACTCCACTTTGAGAACCCTGATCCAGATACATGCTTGTATGTTTGTAAAAAAAACCATGAGAACTAAAGCTAGTATCGCTCATCTTGGTTTCTCTAGGTCCAAGAACAAGTATAAAGGAGGACTCCCAAAATAATTAATGAATCATTATTTGACCAACATCCTTCACAGTCACCTAGAAAAGCTGTGAGTGTACCACATTATACTCCTAAAATATTTCTAAGTCAGATGCACCTAGTCCTAAAAAAAAAAAAAAAAAAACTACTGAAAAAGTAATTCTGCCATTTACATTTAAGTATTTTTGATGTGAGATTAAATAAACTAGGGGGAAAACTGAAAAACTTAGCATGCTGGGAAGCTAAAACACAATAGGTTTAACAATCCATTTGTTTTAATAATAAGTAGACTCCTTAAGTGGTGACTAGAAAGCGAATTTGATTGCTTTCATTACAGAAACTTGACCCCCACATTCGTGTAACAGAATCCATTCTGCTGCAGCCTGTGCGCGTAACTCCTCAAGTACCCAGTGCAGGAAGAAAATATATATGCTCAGGAATATGCTGAGAACTGGCGCAGGAAATCCCTTCTGGACTGTCCCTCCACTTGATGCTCATGCAGCTGGAGAGCACACCCAGCTGTTATTCCATTTTGTTCTTTTTTTTCCCCAAAAATTTATTGAGGAAGAACTGACACCCTTTGCTTTTACTCTTTTGTATTTATTTTATAATTTTATAATTGAAATTTTAGTGACATCTCCCAATGCTGACTTGATTCATACCAGAAATCACAAAGTTTTGGTCCATGTCCCAGTTCTTCACTTACTACTTGGATGTCCTCGGGGAAGTTATATAACTTTGGTTTCAGAACTTTCACCTATAAAATGGGGATGGTTGGGGTGATGGAGATCTCAGTTTACCTACTTTGCAGAGCAGACTTAAAGATGATGTAATGTACAATATTAGGAAGCACTTTATAATACTTACAAAACTTAGTTATTCATTATTTACCAACAGTGGATAGTGCTGTTATAGGCACTGAAAGAAAGCAAAAATATTAAAAATAAAAATATCAAATGTGGTCATCTCCTCCAAAAGTTATAATTCAGCAGGAGAGACAAAATTAATGTACCAAGCTTCTAGAGTGAGCTCACCAAATCCTCTCCCCTTAAAAATTTGTCTCTGGAAATGAACCAAAGTCTTAAAACCAACTGAGCAGCACTCATTCATAAAAAAATCACTGAACTTGAGGTAGAAACAGCAGAGAGTTGGAGGCATCATAGCCTGGGGCTGCTCTCATCCCCACTCTTGCCACTGTTTCATCACAGTAGCTCTAATTGGGGAGGGCAGCACATAAATAACCAGCAGTTTCCCTGTCAGTGGGGGCTGCCTTGATAGGGAGCAAAAGAGGGAAAAATCTCTTGGCCTGTGGCACTACCAGTAATAAGTAGCTATCTCGGAGGCAAGCTAACAGGGAAGGTCAGAGGTTCCCTGAGATTGGAGTTCTAATTAGGAATAGCAACATGCCAGTGGACCAACCAGAAATTTAACAGGGAGATACAGGCAATAAGGCAATCTTAGAAGCATTCAATAAGCTCTCCCATATCACCAGCGAACTGGAAGGAGCAGGAGTCCGAGTGGACCTGACCTATTCATTCATTCTCAGCCTACTTGGAGCTTAACTTATACAGAGAGGAAATAGAGACTGGTGGAAATAAAAGTTGGAGCAGACTTGGAAACTACTGGAACTTGAATGTCCTCCTGAGCCACTGAAATTGAAAACCACTCAGAACCTCAAGATGTGATATTATTTGGAAATAAGGTCTTCATAGATAAAATGAGTAAAGGAGTGAGATGAGATAATCCTGGCTTTCGGTTTTGCCCCAAATCCAATGACTGACATCCTTATAGAAAGAAAAGTATACAAAGAGTACACATGCAGAGATGTCCAAAGAAGGCCATGTCAAGACAGAAGCAGAGACTGGGCGGAGCTACATGTGACAAAGGAGGGCCAAGAATTATCAGGAGCCACCAAATCTTTCTTCCCCAGAGCTTGTCAGGGAGCAAGGACTTGCTAATACCTTCATTTGGGATTTCTGGTCTACAGACTTGTAAGACAATAAATTCTATTGTCATAAGCCACAATCTGAGAGACAGCTACAATCAGTCTTAGGAAACTAACACCCCTACCAACAGATCTCACCCCTACCAACAGAAGGGAGAGGGTATACTAACTCAAGGTGTTTGAGTCTAACCTCTTGCCAATCATTAATGAAATCAGAGACACCTTTGAGACCAAACTAAAAAATAAAAATAGAATTCTTAAAATTTGCAGTACCTATAATATACAATCTAAAATATCTTTTGTTCCAATAGACTTGTAAAACAACAGGAAAAGGACCCATAATCAGAAAAATATATAAAAGCAATAATAGCCACTCCTACGAATCCAATCAAGAATCACAATATACGCATATTCAAAATCTTTATATGTCCATAACAGCATTATTTTTAATAGCTCCAAAATGGAAACAATACAAATACTCTTAACTGGTAATTGCAACAGAAACTATGATATGTCCATGTGGTGACATATCGTCAGCTATACAATGAGCATAACTACTGGCACATCCAGTTGAAAAATCCCTCATCTGAAATGCTTTGGGACAAGAACTGTTTCAGATTTCAGAATTTTTTGCATTTTGAAATACTTTCAGAGACTTTAAATGTCTAAGAATCCCTAATCTGGAAATCTAAAATCCTAAAATGCTCCAAAATTCAAAATTGTACACGTCACTATACTAAAAATAAATGCATGTCTCTTAAAAATGGTATGCAAAGTGAGAGAAACAAGACACAAAATATTACCTATTGCATGATTACATTTATATAAAATGCCCAGAAGTCATTTGCAGAAAGAAAAATTTGTAAAGACAGAAAGCAGATCAGTGGTTTCAGGGGGCTGACTATGAGAGTAAGGACTCACTGCCCATGAGCACCCAGGGACTTTCTGACATGATGATGTTCTAAAATGAGCTTATAATAATGGCTGCAGTACTTATCCAAATTTCTAAAAACTATTGAGTGGCATGCTTATGAAGAACAAATTGCAAGGCATTTAATTTATACCTTGAAATCTAAAAAAAATCTTTAAAAATATCCATACATGATATCACGTCAAGGAAAAAAGAAACAGATAGTCAATGAATATAAAAGAAAAAACAATGTACCAAGAGCCATGGGCCACTGGGGTAGAGCAAAGTGGAAGTCCCCTGAGAAAGGTGCAAAGGCTCAACCTAAGTCTTAAAAATGGTTGAAATTTTAAGTTAAAAAGAAGGAAGGATAGTGCATCACTAACAAAGGAAACAGCACAAGACAAAATTGTGTGGGGGACAGCCGAAGAGCTGTTTGCCAGGGGATAATGAGGACTTACAAATGAGTGAGATGGGATCACGTTATGAAAATACAAGGAAATGGGGCACAAAAGAAAGAGAGAGGAAAAAAAAAAAAGGACTTTGTTCATTGCCTTCACATGAACCCATGAGGCCAAGGTTGGTTTTATTCAAAAAGATAAATGCGGCAAGTAAAAATTCCTGTGAAGAAACTGTAGCATTTACAAGTAGCAAAAGTATTTTGTGACTGCATAGGTGATATAATAGGCAATCAGCTTGTGATTTGGAGTCTAAAATCTAACTACAAGAGGCATAATGAATTACTTTGAGAATAAAAGATGTACTTGCTGCATTCCTAAATAATTTTACTGTTATTTTTAATAGAAAAGCAAGACAAATTAACAAAATGCCCTATTTTAATGAATTTACTGCTCTAAGCATATGCTAAAGGCCCTTATTTTTTAACAGAAATTTCTAAAAATGTATTCACATTTGACAGGTTCGTGCATAGCTTTGATTTGTAAAAAGGGCAGATTATTTTCAGTCCAACTAAACTGCTAAGATTGCTGAACCTCAAGACAACTCTAAACTGCCCAACTTTTCAATTTGAACAATTACTTTCCTGGCAATCAAAGGCAAGCTGATACAAAGTATTACATGGACAAGATTCAATTATTAGAGTCCACATTCCTTCCTATTATTCAAGACTGTCCAATGCCATAACAAAAAGTTCCAGTATCAATATGTATGCCAAATAATTCTGAGTGGGGTAACACCCTCTCCTCATGTAAACTGATTCTGTACCCTCATAGAGAGTACCAGAATGCTGTTCAACCAACACTCATTTTTTTCATTTATATCTACCACATTATCCAGCAGTCAAATAGGTATTATGTATACATTTTATTGAATAAAGTGTAATCTAGGACCCAGGAAAATGTTCTTGCTGTAATTTCCAACTTTAGATTACAACTAATTTCAGTAATTCCCCTAAATTAATAGCTGAAAGTTATACTTAAAAAACTAAATGTATGCATCTACGCCAAACTCATTCAGAGTTTCAAGTACCTCATATTATGAAAATATAGGAAACTTATTGTTACTGATAACAGCTAACTAAAGTAGTATAGAACTGACCCAGGTCTTGCACCTAGGCAGGGGCAGGGCCCTGCTTTTGACTGTACAGAACTGGATGTGGAACCTTGGGGAGCCAACTTGGAGCACCTCCTATTTTCCTCATCTATAGATGGAGTGAATGAACTCTGGAAGGCTATGGCAAAATGAGTCTACGTTAAATCACATTTCCACCAAATATGAAAAATGAGAAAAACAGTTTCTGGCATAATTGAGCATCATATTACATTTTAAGTCAAAACTAACATGCAAGCCTTTAGTCTTGTTTATTTGGGAAGTTTAAAACATGCAATTCCTAAATATGTAGTTATATCTTTAAGAGTTTGAATTTTGTCATTAATTCCATCAATTTCCTTTTGATTGTATGAGAGAAATCAGAAAAGCCAAAAGTAAAATTCCTATGTTTGTCCTGCACTCCCTAAATTCCTAAGTCTCTGACAAGACCCTGCAAATATAAATAGTCGCTTTAATTAGTAAAAATAGTATTACAATCTTAACAGAGTTTCTTAAGCAAAAAGTAACAGATACAATCCTGTAAACAATTTTCTTTTTCATTGTTTCTTCACTAAACCAAATACTGAAGAAAAACACTACAGTACAGCATGTGAAAACCAGGATATAAAAATTATCTTATTCTGATAAACATGAATTTATGACCAGATGAAAACAGAAATTTACTAAGAAGCCATTTAGCCAAATTTTGCACCAAGTTATTTAGGTGTGATTCACCCTGAAGTTTATTGGATTTGTGATTTTATCTCAACACACCTCTAAAGAACAAATTGCCAATCTGTTATTTTTCTCTTAGAATAATGTATGATATAATTCACTATGGCAAGCCAAATAGTTAACTTATAATTTGGGGCACAGCTTATTCGTGCAACATTTTAATGATCATACATCTCTATCCCAAAATTAATCTGTTACCGGGTTAAATCACTCCAAATTCCTTCTTCCACAATCTGCAGGAGTAATTGCTGCTTCAGTTTCAATCATGGAGCAGTAAATCTAGATTTACTTTTAGGCAGCTGGTTTATAAGTCCCTGGATATGCATAATTTCATAAAGTGATTGAAGTCATTTTGATATTATATCAACAACAGCTTATCTATAACATCAACCCCAAGCAATTAAAATATGCACGTTTCATGCGTACCATTTTCAAATAGTTTGCCTTTGTAGACGCAAAGGTTTTCCCCACCACAGTGCTGTTGATAAATTTTTATTTCATCTCGGAAATCTTGGTTGTCATAAGCTAGGTGCACATTTTTCCCCAAATAGATCATTGTAATAGCTGCATTACTATGCAGTGATGTTTTATGAATCCTTCCTGAAACCTAGAATAAACAGAAAAGAGGCTTATTAACTAATTACTTTCTAATCAGTTCTTTTTTTCACATGGCATTATAATATGAAGAACAGAAAAGGCTAGTTTTATATACCTAGTAAAGTGTCAATTCATACAATGCACAGAAAGTCAAGCCCATTAAAAAAAATCCCTCTAAACAACTATCAAATATGATTTTGCCTTTACATTTTGTAAACACTGGGAATTTGGACAAAATTTGTCATTTTATTATTGTATGTTTGCATATGTGTTATATATAGTAAATATGTCAATGATGCCAAGAGGAGATTACTTTTGATTTTTTAAACTAATTGTTAAAAATTCAAACAAATGAATAAATATTGATGCCATCATTTTGCCCTAATCCAAATTGACATTGATTAGGATTTAGCAATAGTGCTTATAATTGAATCTATCTTACAACTGGGCAGTGACAATACATCATTTCTGGGTTTTAACCATCTGAGAGGGGCATGCTCACGTTGATTCCTTCTGTGGTCACTGAGGATTAGGCATCTCATATTTTCTGTGGCTAGGATTAGCCACTCTCACAGGGGCATACAGTTCCATGAAAAAATAACATTACTAATATTAGCCTTAATATCAAAACAATATATCCAACAAATTTTTTAAATACCTCATAAAACTATTGAATAAGGCAATCAATTTAAATTCTTTATAAAATATGCAATTAATGTACATGCCAGAGATTTTTGAAATGTCCTAGGCATTCCTTCCTATATAATATTCTGAAGTGTGTTCATGAGTGTGAACACAGAGTGTCCGCCTAACCTCTAAAAGGAGAAGGCAGAAAGGGAGAAAAATAGGAATGGATGAGAGGGCTGAGACTGAGATGGCTTAGTAAGAACAGAATAGGTCTCTAATTGTGCATGGGCCAGGCTTTTTCACCTTTCTGAAATAAACTTTTAGCTAAATGAAAAGTATAAAAGAAATTTTTAGTTAAACAGAAAATGTGGTGAGACAAACTTTTTCAGCAGATGCAAGGCAATTATCTGAGTTTGAACTCATTAAATTAGTTATATATGGGAAGCATTCTTTTTTTTTTAAGAATAAGCTGCAACAAAACCTTTCTGAAGGAACTACTGAAATATTTCCATCGCCAAAGCCATCAACACTTCTACCTCAGAGAATATTTTTCTGTTCAATTCTATTTCTCTGAAGCAAAAACCAGAGAAAATAAATCTGATGAAATGAAATTCTGCAAATGACGGTCTGAGAAGAATAAATGTTGGGGGAAAGTCCGAGGTTGAAAACTATTCAGGCAAATTGTCTTGCCTGCCCTTATGCAGAGCTCCCATATATAGAGAGATAATCAACAGAAATATTTCAGGGACATCAAAAGTCATGAAGGCAAATGGGCAAACTGGATATAATGCTTTGCAGATTAGAAGCAGTTCCCTGAATTCCAGTCAAAAGCAGAGGCATGATGGCAAGCCCGGCTCCTACTTGCAAAATCATAATCCCATGTTTCTGCTTCCCAAGCAGCTGGGTTGGGGGTGGGCAGGGGATGTCGATACTGTGACCTGCACGTGTGCAGCCCACCACACAATCAGCACACTTATGGCAAATCTACTCCTCAAGCTCCCGCTACAACATTTAATGAAGTGACTGATTAAATAATAGCATCCCTTTTCTGTTAAGCAATACTTTCTGAAATGGCATGAATTTAGAGAGAGCTCCTCTGAGCTTCTGGGAGATAAGCACACTATAAATACAAGGTTATAGTGGCATTAGCGTGAGAGGAAGGCCTGCTTCTTACATAAGAAATGAGAAACTGGAGGGAGAGACTTTTAAAAATGAAATAAATGGCAGCCTTTCACGCTTTTCATTCCTTCTTAGTCATAATTTTTTTCTGCTGAAGTATATTTCTGATAGCAACATCTCTGTCCTCTTGGGTCTAGTTACTTCATCCTCTTTTTAAAAAATATTCTCCAATTATTGTCACTGAGTAAACTTTTCTGTGTCCTAACAGGAGGCCCAAGCCACATCTTGTGATTTAGTACATATACTAGGAAACAAACCATTGTCCCTTTTAATTGACTAAATTACCTCTGTATTTACCATCTTCCAAGGTTATAATAACCCCCCAGACTGATAAAACTTTAACAAGGTTCCATGGCCTTTCCTGCTGTCCTCAAATAACTACCAAAACCTTTCATGAAAATCCAGTTCCATTTCAAGGAGCAAGGTCTCATAGCCCTGCACAACCAAGGCTTATCTTTCTTACTTCATTCACCAGTTGATTAAGACTTTCCTTTTATTTTTTTTTATTTTTTTTTTTTTTTTTTTTTTTACCTCTTTTTTTTTTATTGTTGGTCATTCAAAACATTACATAGTTCCTCATACATCATATTTCACAGTTTGATTCAAATGAGTTATGAACTCCCAATTTTATCCCGTATACAGATTGCTGTATCACATCAGTTACCCTTCCATTGATTGACATATTGCCTTTCTAGTGTCTGATGTATTCTGCTGTCTGTATTATTCTCTACTATCCCCCCTCCCCTCCCCTCCCCTCCCCTTTTCTCTCTCTACCCCTTCTACTGTAAATCACTTCTTCCATTTGAATTATCTTGTCTTACCCCTCCTTTCCTCTTATATGTCATTTTGTATAACCCTGAGGATCGCCTTCCATTTCCATGCGATTCCCCTTCTCGTTTCCTTTCCCTCCCACCTCTCAGGAAGTGTGAATCAGGCGGTATAGCGATACCAGACTTCAAACTATACTACAGAGCAATAGTAACGAAAACAGCATGGTACTGGTACCAAAACAGGCGGGTGGACCAATGGTATAGAATAGAGGACACAGTAACCAATCCACAAAACTACAACTATCTTATATTTGATAAAGGGGCTAAAAGCATGCAATGGAGGAAGGATAGCATCTTCAACAAATGGTGCTGGGAAAACTGGAAATCCATTTGCATCAAAATGAATCTGAATCCCTATCTCTCGCCTTGCACAAAAGTTAACTCAAAATGGATCAAGGAGCTTGATATTAAATCAGAGACACGGCATCTGATAGAAGAAAAAGTTGGTTATGATCTACATACTGTGGGAGCAGGCTCCAAATTCCTCAATAGGACACCCATAGCGCAAGAGTTAACGACTTTCCTTTTATTTTCTTTCAAATTTCTGAGGCAAGTACAATGTGACAAATCACAGGTCCAGGGAATAGTTCACCAGTCAGCCATTACATATTTGCAATATTTAGCATTTGATTGATGTACTAAGCTATAACTGTAATCTCTTTTATCCCTGTCCTGACCTGTGTGAAGTATCTAAGAAGAGACTGTATTGGTGTCAAAGTACCTGTTGTAATTGAGAGTACTGGGCAACAACTCTTCTCCACCCATTTAAACAAACCCTAGTGAACCTGAAACATAAAGTCTTAGGCCACTGCAATAGATTCTTAAGTAGTAGGGTCCACTGAATGTGTCATCCAAAGAGAAACACAGGGCCAGGTTCAGTGGTGCACACCTGTAATCCCAGAGGCTCAGGGAGGCTGAGGCAGGAGGATCGAGAGTTCAAATCCAGCCTCAGCAAAACCAAGGTACTAAACAACTTGGCAAAACCCTATCTCTAAATAACACACACACACAAATAAATAAATAAATAAATAAATAAATAAATAAATAAATAAATAAATAAAAACAGGGCTGGGGATGTGGTTCAGTGGTTGGGTGCCCTTCAGTTCCATCCCCAGTACCACTCCGCCCACACAAAAACAAAAAAGCAAAGTGGTACACAGTGACTGATTATTATGCTTGAGGGAAAAAACAGGCAGAAATATGAATTGTTTCAGGAACACTGGAATATATGGTTACCCTACTGATAGTCTCCCCACTCCAATCACATATCCCTCAAATATTTGCCCCCTGTTGGATATCGGATCTATTGATCCTCAATAAATCATGTGACTCTCCTGCTTAAATTTCATTAACAATTCCCAATATCTGCATAATAAATTCCAACATTCCTCAAACATAAAATGTCTTACATTCTCTAGCTCTTGCTATCCCTTGATGCAATTTCTTGTTTTACATTTAAAGGTCCAGTAAGTGACCTGATTGTAGTGGTCCAAACAGTATCAACCTGTTTTTAATTTCTAAGCCTCAATCACTATATGAGTCACATGATATCAAAACTATTTCCTTACATTCCTCAGAGGGATAGGGTGACATCTTATCCATCTTAATGCCCCCAGTGAGGACCTGGATGTAGAAATGAAACAATGAGTTATTCCACCTTCTCCCCTTTGCTGATAAAAAAAAGCTACAATATGTTGGAACACAGTAGTAATCAGAACGTGAAAACTGACTTAAGTGTTCTGTTCATTCAAACACCAACTTTGGGGGCTCATCCTTGATAAAAGATTGATACAAAAAATCTGGCTCTTGCTTTTGATAAGGAAGACTGAGACTCTGACCCTCTTAGKAAAGATTCTACCCTTGAACTCCAAMCATTGCTGTGGCACCCAGAACCATATTTGGTCTCTCTTCTACTCCAGGGCATTGTTCACAGGGTCAGTACTAACACTGTCTGGCCAGTGGCTTTTTAACTGCTTTTCAAGTCCTGGTTGATTGTATAGTTACTAAACTACAATGTTAATTTTAAGCAAAAACATTKTTTAAAAGAAAATGTCTAAAATGAATCAAGCCTACCATGAAGTATGTTGAGTTATCATATATTGAAATGATGCTATTTTCCTTTCTCACAGTCAAATCTGGAGCAACTGGTGAGAAAAACCAAGAATAAAAAATGCCAAGATAATACACTGACTATAATGGAAACTGAAAAAAAGATTTTAAAATTGAGTCAAAGGAATATGCAATTTTTCTAACAAAGCCTTAGCTTTGTTAGGTTTTATTGTTGGAGAAAGAGGATCTATATCTGAAAGTCATCCCTGATTTCCAAGATATTTGCTCAAGGTGAAAAGGATAAGAGTTTAATTTTTCACATGGA